CTGCCCATAAGCTACTTTGACACAGATGGTCAAAGGTACAGATTTTCTACTCCTGGGACGAATTTGCATCAACATGGTGAAGCAAGCACTTCGCCAAATGAGTAAAGGAAATTTGGGTGTAAGACTTGGTAAGGTATATTAAGGTCAGACTCATAGGCCTTTCTACCCAAGAGCCAAGATTAGTGAAAAAGGCAGTGCTAACTGCTAACATTGTCAATTAATGAACGATGCAATTTTGCCCTCTTCAGCACTCTTTTTACTCCCACCAGCCACTATTTATGATTTGCCACTCTCAATGATTTCCTCCAATGGTGTTTCATGTCGGTTAAGTTCCCTCTCCCCCTAAAATAGAATAGAGTAGATTATAGAAATGTCATCGTTGCGACAAAAAAAAAACTCTTTTTACTCATCACCAAAGCGGGAACGGCCGCTTGCGAGACTCTCAAATATAACATGTGGCTTTGTCCAAGGGAAAAAAATGTAAAAGAAATATGCAATTATATACTACTTGTTATCAAATTCAAGGGTATTTATACAAACTTTTTGACAGGATGTATAATTAGACGTACAAAAAAACCATACATTTAGTGGAGAAGCCGATATAAATGTTCTTTAATATACAAAATTGCACTGTCTTTGTTAATTAATCATTCTATTGCACCATTTTCACACATTTTTCAATGTAATAAGTGAAATCATCATCAAAAGGTGCTACAAAACTACGAAATAACCTTCAAACGTTATGTGATTTCTTAAAGTCTGAAAAAAATTTGTTGCGAGTGGTTTTCAAAATCTACATCTCGGGAAAAAAAAACCACTTTTTGCACTTGTTGAAGTATTTCTCTCAACTTCTTTTTTTTTTTCATTGTTTTTGTTGGAAAGATCATTTGAATCACTCACCATACAAGAAAATAGACATCTTGGAGCTTTACAAGTACTCTTAGATTCCCATCCCGGACTGCATTAGCCCGAAAGTCCCAGGAATTACCTCCCAAATTAGAGCTTATGACTACACTTAGAAAAGACTTAGCCAAAAATCCAATATTTTCAATATCTTCTAACACATATGACTACATATTTAGAAAATAACAAAAACTAACTAGCAGATGAACCCAATCCTTATCCGAAGCTCTTCTCTTTTACCAAAAGCCTCAATTTGAAGAAAGAAAGCAACAACAAAATTATTAGAATTAATTACATTTACCTCCCTTGAGGTTTAACCAAACTACTGATCAAACCTTGAAGTTTGACCAAATAACAGATAGCCCCTTGGGAGTAATTTCTGTTAAATCTTGTAAACGGAATTATTGATAAGACCAAAACCCCTATGTCCAAAATGTCATAGTTTTGACAAACCCTCATTAATCCCTTTTTAATTTCTTTTTTCTAATTTATCTTGATCTTCTTGGCTAATATTTTAGAGCAACTGTGATACCAGCAGTAACTCCCTACTGCCTGACTTTTTAAGTGAAATTTGCATTTGGCCCACAGTGGCTATAGACCAATCAAAAGAAGGCAAACCAGTAGCACTCCTTTTCTTTCCCCAATGAAATCAAGCGCAAAACCCACAATAGTTATAACAAAATAATCATGCATAGAGCATAAACAAGCCTACAACTAAGCGAGGTTAGGAGCCTAAAGACCCCAAACCTCTAAACCCATTTCTAAGATTTTCAGTCAAAAATTTGTTGAGCAAATTAGGACATTTGATAAGCTATATCTTGTTGCTTTAGAATAGATTCGATGTACATGGGCATTTTTGAACTCTGATTAACACCATTTTTAATGGTGAAAGACATCAGGGTATTTTGATACATCTTTTCATTCAAAGGGTTTGGTTGTTATTTGGCTAAATTTTGAGGTTTATTTAGTAGTTTGACCAAACCTCAAGGGTGGTAAACGTAATAACCCAAATTATTAACACATCTGTATATATGCTTGCTTGTTATTTGTTACATATTTTGGATTGTTCACTAACAAGGCACCATTCATATCTCTATCTTTTCAGAATTTTTTTTTGTCTTATATATATCATATCATAAAGCACATTTTTTTGGAGAAGGAATGTAATCTGAACTAAGTGGAGATTGAGTGCTAAACTCTTAGTAGGATGAAAAAGAGAATTATGATTGGATTACTCATTATTTATAATTTTTTGTATTATTCCTTAAACATATTTTCAAACCACTTGTTATCTTCAAAATCAGGTTTACATCTCATACATAATAAGACAAAAAATGTTACGGCAAATAATACAAAAAAACTTGTTTCAAATAACTTCCAATACAAAAAATCACCATTTTACCTCATATATCAAATCGATACAGTACATTTTTTTACAAAACTCTAAAAAATAGCAATCCAAATGGCTCCTTAGTCTTTCACCTGTTTTACTAAAGTCAATTTAGTTTCTCGATTTTTATTTTGTCAATTTAATCCTTAAACTTTAATTTCGTGTCCTACTTGATTCTCTTACGACTCTATTGCCATTTGAAATCTTTCCAAAACAAAAAGGCACTAATAAAAAATTTGAAAGACTAAAATGATCATTTCCTCAAGTTGTTCCAAGGACATTTTTCTTTTCTTTCTCTTTCTTTTCTTTTTGGGATACTTTCAGAACCTCCATCGAGGTTTCTGACAATTTTATTGGTGTCCTCTGAGGTTTTTAAAATTACACTCATCTCTCTTGATTAGAATTGTGGGCCTAGTTACTTATAGGGTGGCAATTCGGATCCAAATCAGGTTGGCGGGTCGGGTTCGGGTGAACCGCCAGAAAATCTGTTGACCCGAACCCGACCCGCCAACCCGTGACAGGTCAGGTGTGCTGACCCGAACCCGAAAATTTCAGGTTGACGGGTTGGCGGGTCGACCGAAATGACCCGAAACTTAATTTTAATTTATTAATTTATCACTGTAATTTCTAATAAAATCAATTTCTCACAAAACTAATTACATAATCAAGTAATAAAAATTTAAATAATAATTCCAAACCAAATCTAAAATAAATTAAACACCGTAAAAGTGTTTTATTCCAAACAAAATATAAAATAAATTAAAACAATATAAAAGTAAAAAATAATATAATATATTATTTGTCCAAATATAATAATTTCAACTTCACACAAATTAAATAAATTCATTTAGGATTAAGTAATTAATGCCTTTGAAAAAAAGAATAACTTAGTTTAGTTAGATAAAATTATTTTTATGTTTATTAAATTTTTTTAATTCGTAAACGGGTCATATCAGGTCACCACGGGTTGACCCGAAATCGACCTGTTTTCTTTTCGGGTTCATCGGGTCCAACCCGATTCTGACCCGAATTCCCGAAACCTCAACCCAAACCCATTAATTTCGTGTTAGGTTCGTGTCGTGTTTTTAGGTCGTGTCGAAAATTGCCACCTCTAGTTACTTACCTCACATGGGGAGAAATTATTCATTTACCTTAAGACATAATGTCTTATTAGAAACTAGTATCTAACGATTAAGTAATTAGAACACTAATTAACTATTAGTAACTAATTAATGAAAATAACTGTTGAAATTATTTAATAATGAACGATGACTTGTAATTACAAAATAACACCAATTGATATACCTAATGACCCTATTTTGTGATTGATAGAATTTGACAATGACCAAAATCAGCTGTACATAATGTGAGAAGAAGGACTTTGATAGAAGAAAAAAAAATAGGACAAAAGAAGGTTGTTCATGAGAATATTTTCTTTGAAACTCTTAAAGTTGTGACAGTTGGAAAGTAATTTTGTGGAAGTAAAGGCGAAAGAAAGGCAAAATTAGAAAATTTTTTCTATTAAAAAACACAAGAATTATAGCAAACATCACGTTAAAAGAGATGACTAGTTTGTTTTGCTAAATCTTGTGATCATTAGTGTAGTTTTCTTGTTTATTTGTGTTATCTAATTTATTGAATATGATCTTTTTGAATGGTGAAATGTGTGTATTAATTATTTGAAAAAATAACTGGTTTCGTCCCTCACATTTTGGAAAATATTGTTTTATCCATTACTTTTAAAACAAAGCAAATTCATCCCTAACATTTAAAAATTGAATCTATTGCATTCATGAACCAACTTTCTAATATGAATCAAACCATTCAATAACCCAGTAACGAATTTCATGGATAGTATTGATGGATCACTTGGTCAACTCCATTACATTTACATGACATTTATTGAACCAAAAAATGAAAAAATAAAAAATTATAATAGAAAAGGTCGCTCTTTTGTCTTGGAATAGTAGAGTTTGTTTTTTAGGTAAATTTTTCATGTACCGTTAGTGTATATACTTGTGAATCTAGATATATACCATACATACAAGTTTGTTATTTAAATTTCAATTGAAATGATGTGGTAGGTATTTAGACCTATCAATATATACAATGACAATATAGGAAAGAATAATTCTTCTTTTTTATGTTATAATTATTTATTTTCCTTTTTTGAGTTCATTAATTTTCATATGAATATTAAGTTGAGTTAACCAAATGATCTACCAATTATAACCTTGAAATTTGTAATCGGGTTGTTGGGTGATTGGACTTAGATTGAAAGTTGCGTACAGGGATGTAATAGTTTAGTTTTTAAATGTCAATAACGAATTCACTTCATTTTAAAAGCGAGGGACGAAAAGAATATTTTTATAAAATGTGAGGGATGAAACTAGTCATTTTTCTTATTTATTTCTAATTTTTATTCTTTTACTAATACAACTTATATATGCATAAGGAGTATTTATGAAATAAAAGTTTCATCTCTTTCCTTAAAGTATTTTTAATGTTACTTTTTTAATTGGACTAATTTCGTTATCAAAACCTTAACCTCAACGAGGTTTGTGTAATTTTGCAAAATTCAGTGAATGCTAGTGCAATTGTCAAAAGCCTCAGGGAGGTTTCTTATATTGTCCCTAGAATTAAATGTAGCAAAAAAAACTTGAAATTCAAAAGAAAACCGGCGGGAACAGGACTCTCAACAAGGAACAAACAAGACATGGACAGAGACAAGTATGAGTTGTATCTCCATCACCTTGCCAGGCTGTCAATCTCAAGATTCTAACGTGCAAATCCGGTGGCTGATGGTGCCATTCCAGGTGCCGATATCAAAATCTAAGGTCAAGATCCATCCTTTCCCCAAAAATTTCTCCAAATATTCAAAAAATAACTATTACTGATACTAATACTAGTAAATTAAGTAATAAATTATCCACCTAATGGTCCCTAACTCTTCACTGCTACCATACTAGAACGGGTGGCAGCAAAGACACCTGCCTTCTGCTGCTGCTGCTGTTGCAATTGCTATTGCGGATAGCAGTTTTCCTCTTCCTGAACGGGTCCAATTCCTTTGTGGACTTCACCGATCAGGCCTGCATTGTTCTGGGTCGGTGCTTGTTTATCATTGTTTCATCTTCGTTTTTACTTGTTCTGAACTTTTGGGGAGAAGTTGAAGTTTTTGATTGATTGTTTGGTTGGTAGATCTGTTGTAATGGTGATATAATGAGAACCCTTTTTGGGTTTTGATCTAATTGGTAACCTGCATTTTGGGTTGGATTTAAAAGCTTGGAAAAAGACCCAACTTTTACAGCATTTGGGATGGATGCTATCTTATGTGTTTAATCAGAATTGAAGGGTGGTTTCAGTATGGGAAAAAAATGGTTCTTGGAAAGTTTCAAGGAGAAAGCCAAAGCTAATTGGCTATTTGGTGTTTCTTGTTATCTGTTGCTAGTTAGTTTAGTAGATGTTGCTGAGATGGTGTCCAATATTATGTTTCAATATGCAAAAAGGCATTTCTTCAAGATCAATATATGTATGTTAAGATCTACTTGACACTGTGCAGGATTTTTTTTACTAGATATTCGGTCAAGATCCCTAATCATTCTGTTATCTGCTAAATTCGGTTAGTATTGTTTTACAAAAAATGTGAAATTGCTTGCATTCCAAAATGACAGTATACCAAGCAAATGTGAGTTCCCTTGTGTTCTTTATGTCCTTTGCTCATGTCAAATTTTGGTATTGTGTGTTTGTACTTGTACCAAAGGCTCTAGCTCCATGCTGTAGTCCTAATGCTCTATTCAATTTGGCATAAGTTGGGTTTGTGGCAGGACCATAACTGCTATTCTTACTTATTTTATGTTAAATTGATCTTGTGTACCATTTTAATCAAGTTCCCCTGCACTCGAGTGGTACATTTTTCCCTACTATTACTTCGACTAAATTGGCTACTTGTGTCATTTGCCTAGGATTAATACGTTAGGAGTTCTTGGAATAAAGGATGGAGATGCAGATTGGAAGAGTAGGGAACATCATAAAATGGAATTGTTTCCTCCATAAAGTTGTGTTGTGTCCTTTGCTTTGCTTGCCTTTGTATGGTTTTGAGGCCTGATGGAAGTACGTTGCTCGTGTGAAATTCTTAAATCAAGTTGTGACAATTCAATTATTGTCATTCATGATCGGTTCACGTTCGTGTTTCATTACTTCAGCTTGGTTCTAAAAGCTATTCTAAATTTTTCATCATGTGTAAATTCTTTCACTAGGTTTTGATCCTATTTGTATCTGCCTAATCATTCTTTCATTTCCTTTGATATGTCACACCATTTATAGTTTGGTGCCAAGATGGTGGCTCAGGGTTTCACAGTTGATTTAAACAAACCTCTTGTCTTCCAGGTGAAAACTCCTAATTCTTTTTATCTTTCACTTACAATATCTTTGGTCTTAATGCTTTAGTCTGAATACAGAGTTGAAATCTTTGCATGCCAAGCTATTATTCTTCTAGGAATTATGAATTATATTTACAGACTCTTAACTCATCCCTGGAACACCAGTGTCGGTGTAACAAGTGAAGGGTGCAGGTGTAATATCCGTGTCAAACATGGTCAAAATAAATTGATACTTGGCTGCTTGGTAGCTCTGAATTCGATCAGGTGTGAGATGAATGGGAAGAAGATCGGAACTTGCAGGAGAGGGAGATGAGAGGATATGGTGGTTTTGTTTCAGAGATTCACTGAAATCAAAGCGTATTAAAGAAAGGGAAAGGGTAAGCAAGGAGTAGTAGATGTGAGAGAGATCAGAAGACTTCAATTTCAAAAGATAAAAGATAAGCAATTGAATATGTATCAGAAAGTTGAGAGTAACCTCATTGGCTCACATGACGATGATGTTGAATATATCACAAGTACTTTTATTGATTTTATATACTATACCAATTTCATTGTCTTCTCCACTACTTGATAGTCAAGCAAATAACACACTCCATGAGTAGCCTAATACCTTAAATCATATGTCTGTGGTCCACCCTTGCCTTTTCTCTGAAACTTTTCCTCCTCTCACTAGTTATCATTCAGAAGAGATTCAATAAAGTACACTATTAGCCGAAAATATAATATATGTATAATATAATATAATATATACATTATAATATAATATATATGTATGTATGTATAATATAATATAATATATGTATGTATATGTTTATGTATATCTTCTCTACTATATCCAGATAAACCTGACTCTTTGGCGGTCCCAGTATCCCAAATTCTAGAAAGTTTATGAATCTGATACCTAGAGGAGCACCCAGACGTGACACCCATGCTAGAGTCCTTGTAATTAGTTCAGTGTCTTGCAGTCACTAGAAATGACAGATTCCTATGGTGAATAGAAGCAAAAGTTGAGTTAATGGCATCCCTTAATTTTGTCCTTCCCATGCAGTGAGTACTTAAATAAACTGTTGTTAGCAATATCATAGCCTGCAGTTGCATTGTATTTTTATGCTCTAGATTTAGTGATGCAGCCATGTTTATCTTTCTATTCTCAGTTCAAAGAGGAAACTATAAGGTAGAGAAATGAAAACATCAACAGGTCTAAGTCCTGCATTTTTCTTCGCCCCCCCCCCCCCACCACCCACAAAACAAATAAACCCCCCAAGCCGTGAAAAGGACAAACAAAACTAGGCATAAAAAGTTTGTTGAACTGGGCAAGATGGCATTTTGCCTTATAATAGACCAATTCGTTTGTTTTACTAACATGCAGCAGAACATGTTTTCCTTTTTGACTTGTAACCTTTTCTAGCTGATGGATACTAGTGCTGCTGTTCCACATAAGAGATATATTTGTTTAAGTCAATTAAACCATACTTTAACTTTTTGAATTTGCTTTATGAAATTCTTTGAAATCTTACACAGGTAGGTCATCTTGGAGAATCTTATCAGGAGTGGGTTCACCAGCCTATAGTTAGCAAGGAAGGTCCCCGATTTTTTGGAAGTGACTTTTGGGAGGTATACTCTCTGGTGAATTTGATAATATGATTATTCATTTATATTGACACTTGAATAATTATTATATGTATGTTATCAAGTCATGCTTCACAGAGCTGATGTTGATTTCATTTTTACTCGAAATAGTTTTTAACCCGCACAGAATGGTGGGTAATCCCCATTGTTTGGCTCCCAGTTGTATGTTGGTTTGTTTCAAAGTCGATTGTGATGGGTCATACACTTCCTCAAATAGCTCTGACGGTGGTACTGGAATCGGTGTATGGACTTTGCTAGAATACACTCTACATCGTTTCCTTTTCCACATCAAGACGAAAAGTTATTGGTTAGTCATTGCTATGTGTGTAGGCATGTTAATTGTTTGTCGTCTTTCTTGTCGGTGTTATTTGTATTTGTGTTTTTTTTCTTCTCTATGTAATGAAATATGTAAAAACTTGTTGTAGGGGAAATACCATACATTATCTTCTTCATGGTTGCCATCATAAGCACCCCATGGATGGTCTGCGCCTTGTCTTCCCTCCTGCTGCAACTGCTGTGCTGTGCTTACCTGTATGTTTCCTTCTGCAGCGTTTCGTTTTTTATTCATACTGTATAAAGCCTGTATTTTCTTTCTTCACTCCCTTCCCGTTACTAATAACTCGTGCTATGCTTTACAATATTCATAGTAAGGCTATTTGGTAGTTACTGGGATCCTCGCATGTCTTTCAGACAAATGTTCCTGCCAGTAATTGACCAAGTCAGGTCATGTAATCATGCAATTTTTGACACATTTACTAAAAGTGCATAAAAGATACATGTGACTGAAAAGGATTCCAGGTCAGGGATATGAAATTTTCATAGGAATCTCAACTGTGAGACTTGTTTTTGACTGTGACATACTGCTAGCAGCTGATTTCTGTACTATTCCTAAGTGAGTAGCCATTGCATCAAAGTTCTTCCCTTGCTAGCATTTAGGTTGAGGATGACATCGGCTGGTGGCCACCAGATTCATGCCCCATGGGAGAGGGAGGGAGGGCAAGATGTTATCTGCTCCATAATTCTAGAAATACAATTTAGTAGCTACTGGGTTAGCAATGACATCTAAGAGGCACTGGACATGAATATTTGTTGTCTTCGAGAGTAAGATGCATGGAGGGAGAAAAATTTGCTTGTGACATTCCATTGAATATGTTGAAAATGTAGTTGCTTAGACTGGTACTGACCAGTACATAGTGAACTTTCACCTACTGAAACTGTCTAAACAACAAGTTCGAGTCTGGTTTCAGCGTCTGATTTTCTGCCATTTTGGATGGTGGTTGTCTTAAACTGCTCCAATTTACTCTTTCAGCTCTCACTGGAGGTTTGTTGAGCTTTAGTTGATATTTTGTCTGTATGGAGTGAATATTTTGACTGAATTTATCCGAGATAACTGGAGAATACGGTACATCATGTTCTAATGAGTACAGATAACAGAAAAATGTTTGAAAAGAAATGCAAATCCATTTTATGCTTGCCTTGGGCTACACGTGTCAGATAAGCAGTCTTAAACTCGGGCCTTTCTTCCAAGTCTGCCCCTTTTAGTTAATTCTTAGGAGTATATGCACAGCACATTCTTCTTCTTCTGATACTAATCTTCTTGTATTGCAGTTCTACAACTTTTTTAAACTCATTTCTACTCCTTCTACTGCTCCTGCTTTGTTTGGAGGTGGTTTACTGGGTTATGTGATGTATGATGTAACCCATTATTACTTGCACCATGGGCAGCCTACAAGTGAAGTGCCAAAAAACCTCAAGGTAAAGAGATACAAATCCATCAGAACAACTTGAGTCTCATTACATTTCTCATTTACATGTGTGTAAAAAACAATCTACATACTAAAAATTATGTACAAACTCGGATCGTAGATACATGCTATCATTTTAGTAGAAACAATTTGCATAGACTTGCATTAGCCCCATATCTAGAATGATCTGTCATGAACAAATCAAATTTTCCGTTGCCCGTATGAATTCTTGATTCAGTTGGGGCCGTTTTGTCACCTGAACCTGGAAGAAGGTAGGAATTTCTCCACTGCACAAGTGGTTTGATCTGCATATCTTTCTGATCATCTCTCTTTTGCAGAAATATCATTTGAATCATCACTTTCGTATCCAAAATAAAGGCTTTGGTATCACTTCCTCATTATGGGATAAGGTCTTTGGAACACTACCAACCTCAATGCCAGCTGAGAAGAGCAGATAGTTTGATGTGTAATAACTTAGTATTCGGCCGCGATCATTCGAAGCACATAGCAGATTTTAAGGTCTATTTCGTTCTCCAAATATTCTTTCTTATGCTATTTTTCTTTCTAAGAAAACTAGCAGATTTTGAAGACCTTGGTTTAAGGGTGGCAATGTAGAAAGTTAAACCAAGTCTTATTTAATTATTTAGTTCAGCGTCCAAAATTGGTGTGACGTCCGAGTCGTATTTAGTCTCCTTGGGCTTATGTCGGTTAAAGTGTCCGAGTCCAATTGTATTATCTTTTCCTTGATTAATTCGGTGTCCAGTGTTTTAGGGAACTAGTAATATCTATAGATATATGTACTCATGTTTGAGGAAGCGGGCCGTGGATATTTGAGGAATAAATTTGAGAGCTTGCCTCCTGAAACTTGTATTTTCCTACTCATGTACCATTACATTTCGTCTTCGCTTTTGGTGCGTGCCGTTGTTTTCTGTTTTATCTAATTGTTTCCGACTGCTTACTGAATTAGAGTCATAGTTATTAAACGCGGCCCGGTAAGGAACCCAGTAGTAGGATTGGATCACTGGTTGAACGGGTGAGTATTAATTTAATATTTATAATTATAAAATTGCATTTTTATATATATATATAAACCATATAATAAAGTGTTTTTAGATACTAATTATTATACTTGGAAATATATATAATAAATATATAGATATTACTAAAAGATCTAATTTCATTTTATCCTACTTTTAAATAATAAATAATATAAGTCAAGTATAAAACAAAAATTATATCGCTTGTTTTATAAAATATAGCATTATTTTTTATTATTATATTTTTTTATTTAAAAATAAAGTAATTTTCTAACTAATCAAATATTGT